AGCGGTAACAGTTACAAAGGGTACACCACTAGGGCGGAGGCCAAATCTAGATATGCCTGCTATCTAGCGGGAGAGAGGAGGGAGCGTTGGAGGAACCGGATGAGGACCAGTTTGATCGCGATGATGCTCATCGTGATGACCACAACTCTCTTTTATGTGATGGTAGTTTAGATGATCGATATCGACTTGTAATGTGAAGACAAACTCCATACTCGCGGTCTTGAGACTTGTAATGTTTTATCTTTGTTCGGTCTTTTGAATTCGGAGACTAATATGATGAATTGTATTCGGAGACTAATCTTCTATTGTATTCGATGAATCTAATGTTGCTGTGTGCTGCTATCTATATTCTGTCCAATAATATATTTTGTAACCTGTGCAAAAATCAGAAAAGCAAAAAAAATTCATACTAATGGCGCATCAAGGCAGAGTGCGCTATTAGTATGCCAAAGGATACTAATGGCGCATCGTGGCAGAGTGTGCCATTAGTGTGACAAAGCACATGGTTACATATGGCCCCAAGGGAGGCATACTAATGGCGCATGGTGTTACATACTAATGGCGCACTGACAGGTGCGCCATTAGTATACCAGATACTAATGGCGCACTAGTGGTGCGCCATTAGTAAAAAATTCTAATGGCGTGCTAGTAATGGCGCACCGGTAGTGCGCCATTAGTAGGAAAAACCGGTGCGCCATTAGTAGGCCTTTTCCTAGTAGTGTGGGTAAACACTGTGTCCTTTGTTCATAGTTAGCATCGGTCTTTAGACATACAGCTTGCCCCCCCCCCCTACCCGAGATCAGCCTGTTTTGACACCGACAGTGTAGATGTCCCTTAGTGCGCGCTTGCACTCCCATTTGGGTATGTGAGTGACGTAGATCATGTTCACTATTTTTACTTTGGGTGAAACTGCTTCTGACCCCCATTGTTCGGCCGACGGGGCTCATCGTTGTCCTCACTTGGAGGTCCCCTTCCCCTTATGTTCGGTATTTAACTTACCGGCCTGTTTAAAGATCCAGCAATTTTTATTGGTGTGGTTAGCAGGCTTGTCGGGGGTACCATGAATCTGACAGGGCCTCTCGAGGATTTTGTCCAAGTTGGATGGACCGTCCCTGTTGCCTTTGAAAGGTTTCTTCCGCTGACCAGATTTGGAACCACTGAATCCGACTTTGACTGTCATGTCTTTGGCGTCATTGTTGTTATTCTAATGTTTGTTTTTATTGCGGCGTTGCCGGCCATTGCCGTCCCTGGCCTCAGAGGTGCCAGGATCGCTGGAACTGTTGCTTCTACGAGCTAGCCAGCTATCTCCGACTGCGCAGAAGCGGGTCATAAGTGTTGTCAGGGCTGCCATGGTTTTTGGCTTTTCCTGCCCGAGGTGTCGGGCAAGCCATTCATCATGGATGTTGTGTTTAAAGGCCGCTAAGGCTTTGGCGTCTGGACAATCCATGATTTGGTTCTTATTAACGAGGAACTGATTCCAAAGTTTGCGGGTTGACTCTCTAGGTTGCTGGATTATGTGACTTAGGTCGTCGGCATCCAGAGGCCAAAAATAGGTGCCCTGAAAGTTGTCTAGGAAAGCATCTTCTAAATCTTTCCAGCTCCCTATGGAGCTCTCTGGGAGGCTGTTCAACCAGTGTCGTGTTGGTCCCTTCAATTTCAAGGGGAGGTATTTGATGGTGTGGATGTCATCTCGACAAGCCATGTGAATGTGGAGAAGAAAATCCTCAACCCAGATGGCAGGGTCTGTTGTTCCATCGTACTGTTCGATGTTTACGGGTTTAAAACCTTTCGAAAATTGGTGCTGCATTACTTCATCGGTAAAGCACATAGGGTGTGCGGCACCTCTACACCTGGCTACATCGCGACGCAGTTCGGATGACATATGTGTTTGGTGCTGACCTCGAACTTGATGATGTTTATCGTGCCAGGTTTGGTGGCCGTCATCTCGTGCCGGGGCATGTCCTCTGGATCCATAGATTGATCTGGTCTGACCGACTTTATTGGCCAGGTCCTGACATAGGTCGTAAGTGTAGTCCGGTGCCGCTGTCTCCTTGCCTTTGCGGCGAAGTGGCGCGGGCTAGTGTTCAGCGTGGTGGGCCGTTTTGTCCTGTTCAGCTTGAAGCTGCTGCTGTTTCTTTTTGAGGCTCTGTGAAGTGGCAATGAGTTATCACTTGAAGCGTTCTTGTTCGAGGGATTCCTCTGGGATGATGAAATCTTCGTCACCGAGGCTCACATCCTCTTCGGAGGTAGGTAAGTACTTGTTGTCCTCTGAGTCCTCGTGATCAGCATGCTCGGGGTTGTACTGACCCTCCTTCCTCTCGTCCTGTTCAGACGTGGGCTCGACGGGGTGGTCTTCGGCATTGTCCGAGGTTTAATTGTCTCCGGTGCCGGCAGTGCTATCCTTTGCCCGACGCGATCGTGAGCGGCACCGCTGACGCTGGTGCTTTGGTGGTTCGTCGACGGGCTTGTCCTTGCCTGGATCTTGAATGCCATCGTCGTCCTTTTCCTCAGGAGTGTCCACCATGTATACATCGTAGGTAGAAGTGGCCGTCCAACGCCTTGTAGTAGGAGGGTTTTGGCTTCGCTCTGCGTCAACATCATCGTCCATGTCGTCGATGTCTTCGGAGACGTAGTCTAGCATGTCGGTTAAATCCTCGACAGTGGATATTAAGTGGGTGATGGGTGGGGTGTAAAATTCCCCGACCTCAGCCCCCAGCCTGTGCTGGGTGTAGTTCGGAGACAAAATTTCCGCAATGGCGAGAGATTGCATTAAGCCCAGCGCTTCGTCTAAAAGCGAAAGCTGGATGGGAGTCTGCGAATCTACGAGGCCGGACCCTTGATCGAGTCCGGGGGCGCAGACCTCAACCATTCGGAGTTATCTTCCAGAGACGAGTCCGGCTCTCCGGTGACTGGGAGAATTTCGTTTGACTCTGATGGTGCGATCGCGTCTGGGTCTCCGGCTGAGAGTTCCCTGATAAAAGAGAGTCCGGAAGGAATGATCCTCTAGTCGTCGGAAAACGCGATCTGTGCCGGATCTAAGGCCGAGGTAGTTGTGAGCATTGGCCCCTGGATCGGATATGATATCGGATCTGAAGGGCCCGCTTTATGAGGGTGGGGAGTAGCATTCGAGGCCGCGGACCCCTAGAAGATCAGATCGCCTCGGATATCCGCGACATAGTTCAAGTTCCCAAACCTGGTCTGGTGACCAGGGGCGGAGCTGTCGACCTGCTTGAGGCGGCCGGTCTAGTCGGCTTGTAGCACGAAGCCGCCGAACACAAAGACCTGTCCAGGGAGAAAAGTCTCCCTGGACATAGTATCATTGTTAATGAAGAGGCACGCCATCAATCCTTTTGCTGACAACACAACTGAGCTCTCAATGAGAGCACCAATGTCGGTGTCAAAACCGGCAGATCTCGGGTAGGGGGTCCCATGCTGTGTGTCTAAGGATCGATGGTTACAAGGGACAAAGGGACACAATGTTTACCCAGGTTCGGGCCCTCTTAAAGGAGGTAAAACCCTACGTCCTGCTTGATTGTATTCGATGAGTATAGGGGTTACAAGAGTTGATCTACCTCGAGATCGTAATGGCTAAACCCTAGCTTGTCTAGCCTATGAACATGATGATCCTGCCTCCGGTCTAAACCCTCTGATTTATATAGATACTGGAGGGGCCTAGGGTTGTATAGATTCGGTGTACAGTGAAAGGAAACAGTATATCCGAACACCTAATCTTACCATTCACGCATACAGGAGTCCCAACCAGACACGGGAGGTGGTCTTCTTCCTTCATCTTTACGGCCCATTAGTCTGGGCCATATCGAATAGCTCGGACGCCAGAGGACCCCTTAGTCCAGGACTCCCTCAAGGGCTTCTCCCTTTCGCTTTCCCGGGGATCGTCGTCTCCGGAGCGGGTGGCGGGGCCGACTTGCGATGTGCTGAAGAAGAGTAGCATGGGACAGTAGTTGTGGCCGTGGAAGGAAGACGTTTACGCACACACGTCGGAGCATCGGTGCTGCTACGTCAGAGCAAGGCGAAGGGCAACGATGTGCGCCCGTGCGTGAGCAAGCTGCCTCGGCTGCTGCAGCCGGTACCACTGCTGGCCCCGGCCCGATTGCACTCGGCAATGAGCACGAGGACGCGATCACGGAGGTAGGGGCACACACACTGAGCGTGTTCCCTTATGGGTGGATCTTGCACCTCATCGGTCCTCCCGTCCTCTATTCGGATCACTAGATGCGCATCTTCGGCGAGGGGTGTTTGCGCTCATGGAGGCAGTTCGCGAGCGGAGCACGAGGAGGATCCGTGGAGCGTGCGGTGGTTTCGGTGGGTTTGGATTGTTGGAGCGTGCACTGCAGCTTGGATTTATTTGGGATGGAGGTGGAGATGGGAAGGGCCTGAGGAAGAGGACAGAGGTATATTTAGAGAATATTTCTTTTTACGGGTTGATTATATGGGATTTGTTCGGCCGTAGCTAAAATTGGTCCTTAAAAACATGTGTTTCTTAGCCCTTATAATGACTTTAAAACTCTGCGTGATAAGAGGTCTATTAGAGATGCTCTAAGTAGGTACTACCGCCATTCTAGAATATAAGAAATATAAGGCATCTCGGTAGATTTGTTTAACCTACCAAAATGTCTTAGATTTTGAAATGGAGATAGTAGGTAGTTTAATTATTTGTGTATCACTACATTTCCCGAGGCATCACATTGTTGTTAAGTCTTAGTCGACTGAGACTTAGTTATGTCTCAATCGATGCTATATTCATAGGATCTCGCATGGAATTTATGTTAAATCTCAGTCGCCTAACATCTAGCCACACCCTCATGATGATTGGTCTCAAAGCAACATTTACTAGTTCACTAATCTCGCAAAAAAATACATTTTTTGGTTCATTAGTTCTGAATAGAAGTCCTTTGCCCCTAAAAAAATCTATATATGCTTTTTTTCAAAAGGATCTATGGCTATCCCAGAAAAAATATTTCTCTGCTGCCCCAAATGACATGTGGGGCCCAAAGCTACCGCGAACCAATTCCGAAGGTGGAACATCTAGAACTTTCTCCGTCGATGCCCGAAGGACTCCCCACTGCTCCGCGCTCATTCCACCACCTTTCAGAAGTTTCCATCACCTTCCAGACTCTCCGTGTCCGGCGACCTACATAAACTCCCTCCTCCTCCTCGCCATTGCATCCCCATCAAAGCATTCCATAAAATTCAACAAGCTATCCAACGCAAGTCCAACCCGAGGAGATCTATGGAGCTCAAGATCAGCGAGCGAGAATGGCGAGAATGGTGTTTGGCTTGGAGAACCCGATGATGACGGCGCTGCAGCACCTACTGGACATCGCAGACGACGAGGCTGGTGGAGCCGGTGCAGCCGGCAGCAAGAAGCCGGGCCCGACGCACGTGCCATGGCGGCCACCCCGACCGACGTGAAGGAGCTATCAGGCGCGTATGTGTTTCTGGTCGGCATGCTAGGGCTCGGATCCGGCGACATCAAGGTGCAGGTGGAGGACGAGCGAGTGCTGGTGATTAACGGTGAGCGGCGCAGGGAGGAGAAAGAGGACGCTAAATGCATGCGGGTGGAGCGCTGCATGGGCAAGATGATGCGCAAGTTCGTGCTGCCAGAGAACACCGACATGGAGAAGATCTCTGTCACGTGCCGCGGCGGCATGCTTACCATGACCGTCGAGAAGCTGCCGCCGTCTGGGCCCAAGAAGCCCAAGACTATCCAGGTCCAGGTCGCCTGAGATGCCTGGTGTGCATGCCCGAGTCCAGATATTCACCCTAACAATACACCAGTATGAATCGCACACGCAACTCTAATACGAATCGTGTTAGATGTCTCCGCCATCACAAACACTCTGTATCATTTTTTACGATTTTCTTACACCACCGTTTGCAATTAATGCACCGCACACGGTTTCGTCGAAGTGTCTCTGATTGTACTGTCGCGTTAGGACCATCCGACACTAGTGAATAAAGGTAAATTTTCCATGGCAAATTAGAAATGTAAAATTTGCCATGACAAAGAAAATTAAAATTTTCCATGGGAATGAAGATAATTAAAGTTAAAATAACTATACTTGTTATGGTTTATAAGACACAAATGTTTCTAAAAATTTCCATGTGAATGATCTGGAAAAAAATGCAAAATTACCATGATGTCAAAAAATTGCCATGACGTTCAGAGTGTTACCAAAAAATGTCTTTTGACATGGCAAAAACACATTTTAAATTTCCATGCCAAAAAATATATCTTAGTTTCCATGTCAAATCACACCATAAAAAACTCCAAACTTGTCATAGCAACACATGTTAAGTTGCCATGGCAAAAGTGTTGAAATATCGTATGAAAAAACCTCAAAACTTGTTGCAAAAACTCATCTTATTTTGTCGTGTCAAAAACACATCTTAAATTGTCATATACTTCATACTTTTCGTGGCAACACATCTTCAATTGCCAAGACATCCAGAGTGTTACAAAAAACGTCTTTTAACATCGCAAAAACATCTTAAATTTCCATGGCAAAAAATATATTTTAGTTTCCATGTCAAAACATCCCGTAAAACACTCTAAACTGCCATGGCAACACATGTTGAAGTGGCCATAGCAAAAGTGTTGAAATGTCGTGTAAAAAAAACTCAAAACTAGTCACAGAAACTGATCTTAATTTGGCATGATAAACACACATCTTAAGTTGCTATAAACTACAAACTTGTTGTGGCAACACATCTTAATTTGCCATGGCAAAAACGTGTATTGTATTTTCCATGTCAAAACACACTGTAAGAAACATCTAAAAATATTGCCATGCCAACACATCTTAAAGTTGCCATGACAAGTGTTAATTGGCATGTGAAAAACTCCAAAACTAGTAGTGAAAATGATGCTTAATTTGCCATGAAGAAAAAACACATCTCAAATTGCCATGGTGGGAGTATATTCTAGTTTCCACGATAAAACACCATAAGTTATCGTATCAAAAAACACATGTTAAATTTGCCATGGCAAAATGATAGGTCTTCCATGTGTCCATTTTTCCAAACACTTTGCCATTTGGTCTGGACTCTAATTTGCATGATTTTAATAAAACTAACCCAGACTAACGTTCTTTTCAGCAGAACTAGCACGGTATTATTTTTGTGCCCAAATAAAAGTTCTTGGAATTGGACAAAACTTCATGAAGATTTTTTTAAAATATATAAAAAATACTGGTGTAAAGATATACCAGAGATGGGCCACCAGCATCCCACAAGGCAAGGGCGCGCCATGTTACCTTATGGGTCCCACGGGTGGGCGTCTGACCTAATTCCAAGCTACATATATCGTCTTCCTGAGAAAAAAAATCAGAGATAAAGTTTTATCGTATTTTATGATATGGAGCCGCCGCCACCTCCTCTTCTTCACCAGGAGCCTGATCTAGAGTCCGTTCGAGTCTCCGCCAAGAGGGATTCATCACCGTTGTCATCACCAACCCTTCTCCAATTGACAACCTCATGATGCTCACTACCGGGAGTTAGTAATTCCATTGTAGGCATACTGGAGGTGGATAGAGATGGATGAGAATCTTTATGTAATCGAGTCAATTTGTTAGGGTTGATCCCTAGTATACACTATGTTCTGAGATTGATGTTGCTATGACTTTGTTATGTTTAATGCTTTTCAATAGGATCCAAGTGCCATGATTTTTAGATCTTAATCTATTATGTTTGCATGAATATATTTGAGTTCATGATCCTATCTGCAAGTTATATGAACCTATTATTGTTTCGATCCATAGATCTCCAAAGTGAGAATAATTGGGATACTGTCCGGAGATGACTGTAATTTGAAGAGTTTGTGTATTCACTATGTTCTAATACTTTGTTCCAGTTCTCTATTGAAAGGAGCACCGTAATTATCCTTAGTTTCCATTAGGACTCCGTTTCCACGAGAGGGGATGTCTTGCAAGTTCTTATCACAAACGCGTATGACTAAATATGGAATACATGCCTACATACAATTGATGAATTAGAGTCATTGTGTGTCGCTCTAGGTTGTGAACGTTACATTATGAATTACGTCTGAATATCTATCGCTAATCCATACCTACGCTTTTACAATATTGTCTTTGCTCAAGTTACTATTACTGCTGCTGATCCAACCGATGCTGATCTAATTGCCACAAAACTGCTATTACTGCTATTTTTACCATTACTACTGCTATCATTGTTATCATGTTACTATGCTACTAATAAATTGCTGCACAGAAGTGGCTTCTCATGCTTGGTTAAATGGACAACTCAACTGTTAAGGCTTATAAATATTCTTTGGCTCTTATTGTATCGAATCAATAAATTAGGTAAAATACTACCCTCGAGGACTATCGTGATCCCCTATACTTGTGGGCCATCACAAAATAACTATAGTTATCATGGCAAACAAAACTAAGTTTACATGTCAAAACATTAATATAACTATTGCCGACAACATGGATATAGTCTGAACCCCAATTCTTGTACACACAAAGATGCCATGATAATTTTAAAAAAATAGCCACCTATGCACATACTTAATTGCCATGATTATGAAAATTAGAGCAGAACTATGAACTATAAATACATGTATGTGAAGCAAAACAAAAGCAAAAAATAGCTTGACACATACATGCTGATCACCTCATTTGACGAAAATGATGACATGGTTACTGAAAATGAAAACTGCCATCACTAAGGTGTTAGGGAACTAAATACACACACAATGTGGAGCTTACCAAAAGAAAAGAAAAACACCGTAAAAATGCCATCTACTCCTACCTATGAGTTTTATCGAACTAAAATGACACATAACATGACCAAAAAATCTCGTCAATGGCCACTATGCGTCCATCAGTAGTAGCATGAAAGAGAGAAAAATGGATGAGTGAATACGCTCAGTGACGATTCGTCGTCGGGTTCGATGAAGGCCATGGGCACCACGTCGTATTCTTCCCCATCTTCCTCTGCTTTGTGCCTCAATCACAAGGGAGAAGGGTCATGGCGACATCTCCATGATGGGCGTCGAGTGCAGGACGGCGAGGAGGGTCACCATGGCAACAGGCCCGGCACCATGCATATTCCCGTCGTTGACGGCGGCCAGCTGGTCCCCGTCCTCCTCTACCAGCCCGGCGGCGTGGAGGCGGTCGGAGAGGTGTCGATTCCCGCCCTACAGCGTGGAGGTCGCAACGTGTTGCTCCTCGAGGTCACGCTCGCCCGACCAACACACTGCACTCGTGTGCCGCCCGACATAACTCCGACTGCCAGACGGGCTTCGCCTCCGTCCCGCCTGCCCAACGCCGGTCGTCTCGGCTTCAAATTCGACGACGAGAGATAGTAGACTGTGGAGGGTGGGGTGGGGAATGGGTGGTAGGGAAAGCGGTGGAGCTGCGAGTGGATAAGGCGCTCAGGCGACCGCAGCCTGACGCGAACCATTCGCTCGTGACGACGTGGCATGAGGAGCACGGCAAGATTCAGGCGACGGCTACGAAAGCATTTGGACGACAATTCAGAAAACTGACGTTCGGTACTTAGTATTTCCATATGATTATTATTCTAAACACGTGCCTGGCGCACATGCAACATTTACTACTCCCTCTGTCCCTAATATAACAGTGTTTTTTACAATAGCGTAGTGTTGGAGCATTTTTTACATTAAAAGACGTTTTTTCAAGGGTAATGCCAATGACGTACCTTAGCTTTATAGAAAAGAGAATAATTGTACAAGTTAAAGGACGTTTTTGACACTACAATAATGTAGTAATAGTTTTGAATAAAAGTCCCTTTGCTCCTAGGAAAAATCTCGGTATGCCGTTTTTTTTTCACAACGAAAATCTCCCTATGCGTATCCTAGTCCTGGAAAAAGATATCTCTCTGCTGCCCCGAATGACATGTGGGGCCCGAGGCTACCGCACAACAATTCCGAAGGTCGAACGTCTAGAACTTTCTCCTCAGCGGCCGAAGACTGCTCCGCGCTCGTTCCACCACATTTCAGAAGTTTCCATTACCTTCCAGACTCCCCGCCAACGGCGACCTACATAAACTCCCTCCGCCTCGCCATCGCATCCCCACCAAAGCATTCCACAAAATTCAACAAGCAATCCAACGCAAGTCCAACCCGAGGAGATCGACCGAGCTCGAGATCAGCGAGCGAGAATGGCGGGCATGGTGTTCGGCTTGGAGAACCCGATGATGACGGCACTGCAGCACCTGCTGGATATCCCAGACGGCGAGGCCGGCGTCGCCGCCGGCGAGAAGCAGGGCCCTACACGTGCCTACGTCCGGGACGCGCGCGCCATGGCAGCCACCCCGGCGGACGTGAAGGAGCTGCCGGGCGCGTACGCGTTCGTGGTGGACATGCCGGGGCTGGGTTCCGGCGACATCCAGGTGCAGGTGGAGGACGAGCGGGTACTGGTCATCAGCGGCGAGCGGAGGAGGGAGGAGAAGGAGGACGCCAAGTACCTGCCGATGGAGCGCCGCATGGGCAAGCTGATGCGCAAGTTCATGCTCCCCGGCAACGCCGACATGGAGAAGATCTCCGCCGCGTGCCGCGACGGCGTGCTGACCGTCACCGTCGAGAAGCTGCCGCCGCCCGAGCCCAAGAAGCCCAAGACCATCCAGGTCCAGGTTGCCTGAGCTGGTATGCATTGTGTGCGCGTCGAATCGAAGCAGAGTTTGAGTGGCTGAGTGGGTACTGAGTTTCCTGTGATGATGAGTGATGGTTTCTCTGTCT